ACCTCAATTACAAGTTTGACATATTGCCCGTAGGTTGGAAGTTGCCTTAGACTTAAACGCGTCAATGGTTTTCGTCATCTTCAAAATATAAACTCCGTTTTTAACCTTAATAAAGCGTCAATTTACTCAATTTACCTAAATTACAGGAATTTGCTGTACTAAGGCGTAGTAATAAATAATCAAACATTTCTTTTGAATTAATATCTCTCAAACAACCTACTGCTCTATGCCCAGAAGCTCATGTTTGCCTGTTGACTATTATAATCATATAGATGGATTGACTATGAATGGGATTAGTAATATAGCCAGATTCTTTTTCTTTTGTTTGATATATAGGCGTTCGAGTTAGATACAGTACATAATTACCATTACTAAATATTTCAATTATCTGTGTGACAAATACATAACTATGTGAAAAATTTCACAGCAGGAGTCAATTTGTCCCTAGGTACATTTTTTTTATTTTATGTATAAATATGTTTTCTCAGCTTCCTCCATATGTCGTCCTATAGTCAGTCACAGTTGCTGCAACTTAGTTTTGGTAGATATATAATGTTTTGTAACAGAAAAATTTGTTGATGTCGAGATATAAATGCATGTTGAGGATCAGGAAATAAAATCCATCGGTCATAACGGATGGTGAATTAGAGAGAATAGTAGGGATGCGTGCATATCAACATCTGTTTAGTATTATTATTCTCACATGGGAGAAATTATTAGATTCAATTTATTTTTATGAGAGATTGAATAAATAAACATATGACCGAGTATGTTACACAGATGTCTCCATTATCATCCGTTTTATAATATAGAATTTTAACTATATTTAAGAGAGAGCGTACGAGCTTATCGAAATGTTTACCTGAAAGACTAGAACTTTTCTTAAAACATCATCCATTTTTCCCAGAAACGATCATAGTTTCAAACTATTCGCAAATCACTCAGTTATGCTGCGGAGCTAATGTACAGAGAATTTGACTAAAACATACACAGACAGCCGAGGTTCATCAAAAAAAATTTTGTATTCGGAATAATCGTTGTAGTCTATGTATTTTTCAAGTTCTCCGACATATAACATAAAAACGTCTCATCAACTGTGTAGTTGACCGATATTTCATTCAAAAGATTCTGAACAAAATGGTATATTTTTTTACTCCTCCACAAAACAGCATGTAAAGAAGATTTTTTAATATATATTTCTCGCTTGATAATGTTTCAGCGCCGACAGCTTAAGGCTACTTTTTAGAAGAAAAACTGCTTTATCATGAATTAGATTACACTGATATTGATTTGATATGACATTACATATAATGAAGTGAATCTATTGAACATGTGGAACATTTCTTTTACACAAAAGCTATCTTTATCGAACAAAATAATCTCTAGCTGTCGGTCCTGAACGTTTTCAAAACGAAAAATATATATTGAAAAACGTTCAAACAACAAAGCATTCAATTCAGTATATCATGTTGATTTTGAATATTGTACTTATTTTTAATATTTTGCTGGTTGACATTTATTACTCAATTGACGTTTACTACTCAAATGACATTTTATTCTTGGTGATATAACTGAAAATCTTCATTTATATGCCGTTTGTGGAGAAATAAAGAAATATACCATTTTGTTCGGGATTTTTTTGAATGAAATATCGTTCAAAAACAGTTGAACGAGACGTTTTCATGTTATATATAGGAGAACAAACTATGACCGTTTCTGGAAAAAATAGATGATGTTTTAAGAAAACTTGTGATATCTTACGGAGATAATTGTTTCGAAGACTAGAAAATGCCGTATCGAGAATCGTATGAGACTATTTTCAAAAACATTTTTTTATGATGTTGTCACTTTCCTCGAACGGCGTCTCCATCCTCTCTTAAACTGAAAAAAAAAATGGATTTTTAATCCAAATCTATACCTCATAATGATGTTTAGATTGTTTTGCTCTCCACCCTTTCCCATTGAAAATTGCTTACTTGATGACATACTTCTCTTTTTTTGATCACGTTTACTTCCTCCTTTTTTTAATCATTTATCATTTTTTGTTACGACGAATAATAATAATAAAGGTGCCTACTATTTAATCCTTAAGTAGAACTTTTTTCTCTTATTGATATCGTTAAAGAAAGCAAGGTAAGCTGATAAATAATGTGTGATAATTATCGTCCTTGGTAAGTAAAAAAAGAGAAAAGAGAAACAATACAATGTTTGTATCCAAAATGTTGGATTTTATGTCATTTTTTATTACAACTTTATTAAGAAACACAAAATTACATAAAACTTCTGTTATGAGACTCAATGTCAAACAAGTAGTTAGAACTCATTTAACATTTTTCAATAACTGAAGTGTTTTATTTTTATTTGCAAAACTCGCAGTTTTTCTATCTACAGTTACTTGAAAAGTGTTTCTTAAATAGAAAAAAGAAAGATGTCCAGTTGATTGACGCTTGTTCTCTTTGCATATGAAAATATTTTTCTGATAATATGAAGAATGTGCGCTATTAAGGTCGAGTGTACATTTATGTCTTATAGAATTTTTTAGTAAAATAAATTATTGACTTGATACATTCATTGTACGTTAGACGTAATATCAACCAACTCTTTTTATTTTGATACATCCGTATGTTTTGATTCATAACACAATATTCTATCGTAAATCCTTTTTGTCTTTCTTTTTTTTCGTTTTGTCTTTATAATATTCAATCATCATACTCATCTATAATCATGGATATATATTGTGCTCCACTTATAAACACACGTTTTTTAACTGTGGACGAAAACAAGAAGAAATATATAACAGAAAAGAGCGTAGAGTGTATAAATGAAAACGCAATGATTTTCTTTTTTCTTCTCTTGTTTTAAAAAGGTCTTTAATTGACCTGATGCGACAATAATCGTTCTAACTTATTATTAAATACTCATTGAATTTATTGATAAGGGTAAAAAACAAGTTAACGGCAATATGTGTGTGTGTATGTGTATGTGTACGTTTAGAGAGGACAAAATTTTTTCAAACATGTGGTATCAATAAAGGTTCTGGTTTTTCTTGTGTTCGACTGACGTCATCAGTTTCCATATACAGCCTTGTAAAAAGTATATTTGATCATCTGTTTATTGAACTTGAATTTTATATAGTAATCTTCTCAGACCTCTTCGCTTCATTCATATTTAAGTCTCATTATCTTGAATTTATATCGGAATTATGCTATCTTTTTATTTTTGTTTTGAAAAGTTGTTAATAGATTTCTGAACTTCTTAAAATAAGGAGAGTAGACAGATAAACATACGTCGCGATCGAAATAGAGTATGATACGTCTTTTATACGGTTGAAAAAGAACGAAGAAAAATGATACTATTTAGAAATGAATATGTAAAATCAGAAGTTAAAAAAAGTGTTTTGTTGATGTGATAGCAGAGAAAAAAAGAAATTGCAGATTAAGTTCCGAAAATGAAAAAAAAGACCAGTAAGTGGACGTACGTCATCACAACTTTTTCTTCAAATATCCGGAGAGAAAAAAAAAATGAAAAGAACAAGGTAAAAAACATCATCACATTATTATATATTTAGCTAAGAAGAAAAAAAAATAGAATCATCGTAGAGATCAAAATAGGAAAAGTTCTTGTTTTACAACGACGACGGCATATCTGTGACATTAATCAATGTTTTATTAAGTAGTAATAACAGCATTAATTAAAAGCAAACTGACACACGTAAAAATAGTGTGAGACGATTCCATTTCACCTGTCGAATATATGTATATATATATATTCATGTATAGAAAAAATGATGAATAAATAAACAGCTGTCTTTCTTTTTGTATCCAATATACAAGAACAGTTCGAAAGTATATTAAAGCTAATACATGATAAATGTTCACGTCCTAAATACAAAGACAGGTGTGTACCGATAATTTCTCAAATAGTAGAGACGTTGAGACATTAGTTTTAGTAATCAAATACAAAAAAAAACGACAATCTATTTGCGAAATCTCATAGATTTTCAGTGTGTAAGTTAATCAAGATAGAAAGCCCATTTTATGGTAATAATTTACTTTCATATATAACTTATTAATTCTTTATATCTGAAGACTTTAATTCCTCCAATCGTGATCGATCTATTTTTCAGCTAAAATTTGATATCCAATGACCTACTTTTTATTCTTTCTTCTCTTATTTTTGTATTTTTAGCTTATTAATATGGTATAATGAAACGTTTGATGTATATCACTTGTGACTATTTCCATCAACAAAAACAACAACTATCTTATACATAAATGGGTGAAAAGAGTATAAACGCTCGATTACTACTGATTACAGCTAATACAGGCACTGTATTTGAAAAGGTTATTATCAAGATTTTCAACACCATTATTTTATATTTGTGTCTTTTGACATATATTCAAGATAAATTGACTCAATTCTTTTGTTTTTTTCTCTTCTAGCCTGAATTGATATCAGAATGGCTTGCACAATTTGGAAAAGTAAGCAATTAATTATTTACAATTGCTTTTATTCGTATAACATTGCTCCTATATTCATTTCTATTCTTTATCATTCGATATCCGTTACTTTTCAAAAATAAAAAAAGTAAAAGGCAGTTGAATTGATGTTCTATATTTATCTCTATGCGTTTAGACGAAACATATAAGAAATGAATTATACGATATAAGAGATATAGGAAAAGTAGTTTTATGACCTATTTTGAGACACCTATTCAAATAATAATTATATAAATTTTATTACATTTAATATCTGTTTCTAATGACTAAAATTTCACAAACTTTATAAAATCTAAATGAACAGATACTTTTGTTATACACTGAATGACGTCGGTACTTTAAAAATCTTTTGTCTTATTGCGCGGTAAATTTTTCAATCCATTAGTAATTTTTTTTTTGTTTTGTTCGGATTTATATGTGTATGATATGTATTAAACTTAATCATGCGAGAAAGCAGTCTTTATTTTTTTCTCAAAAAAAACAACAACAAAAAATTATATATTATTCATTTCTTTTTTCTCCAGCTGAGTAGTTGAAACTAAATGAACGTTGTTGATTATCACCACATCGACAATCACACAACACATCATAGGCACTTTGTTTCATATTTTTCATTAATTTTTCTATTATACCTAAATCTTGTGTAGCAACAACATTATTATGTGTCACTTTTTTTGCCTTAAGAAATAAAAATGAACTAATTTTTCTAATTTAAATGACTGATTAAACACAAATAAGGTATAACTTACAGAACAATCACAACTACAATCGATAAAACATGCGCGAAATTTATCTTCTTCATGTATATCTGGTTCACGTTTAAACAAGTCTTGATTAATTTCCGGTTTATCTGACATATTAGAGAAACAATCTTCTGTATCGTCGATTGTCGATGGTTTTTCATAAATGATACATTCATTGGATTTTTCCGGTCCTCCACTTTTATCACTTCTATTATTTGTCATAGTGTTACTATTCGATGTTGTTGTATTTAAAGTATTTTTAATTTGAGCTGTAGCATTCTGAAAAAGATTTGTGACTTGTTGAGTTAAACCCTTACTCTGATTATTACTCATTCTACTTAAATTAAATGGAACTTTAAATTTTATTTTTCAACACAAATTTTTAATTGTCAATTTTTATAAAATTAAAAATTATTTAGATTAAAAAAATTTTAAATTAATTAATTAAGTGTTATCGATAAAAGTCGTTCACAGCAACAATGAAGTATATGGCGCAAACGTAACGCATACATTGTGGTATATTTGTGTATCGAGGAAATAATGTTGAACATTGCCAACGGAGAGTTTTTTTATGTTTGTGTAGAGTTTTATAAACCATTTTCAAACAAAAACGTGAAGTGAAATAATCAAGAAGGAGACGGTTGAGCAGTTTAATTTATACGTTAATACTTCGCTAGTGACACAATGCAATTGAAAATTTAAAACAGCTATTATTATATTATTTGGAATTATTGCCAAGGCGATCTTTCTTATAACTTGCACAGTAGGATTATTAACAGTGCAAATATTTGACCTAAAGTAAAATTTATCTCGGTTGAATTTCAGGTAATAAGTTTGTCTCTCTATGAAACTAAGTTTGGAATAATATTCTGTCAGAGTCGTTTGATGATCTAACTACCTATTCGTCCGTCGGATACCGATTGTGACTGAGTATATAAATAATATTTCGTAAAATCGATGTTTAGAGCAGACGTGAAAATTTTTAAATTATATCAGAATTGTAGTAGTGACATTTAGTAGTCATCGATAGAATCCAATAATTGGTACAGCTTTAAACAAAACCATAGATGGTTTATGACTCGGTTATCTATGTCAGTCATCGTTGTTTCACTTGTTTACCCTGTCTCACTCGCATAATAGTTTTAGATACTTGCCTTACGTAATTTAATTTAGACTTTATTCTTCTAGAATACAAGTAGAAATAAACCTAAGAACATTATTCTAATACTTAAACTATTGAAAAATGAAACGTCAGTTTTGTACGGTTACAGAATTGAATATAAGAAGTTAGACAAAGATTTGTCTTATTGGTGTGAAAAGAAATTTTAATCATGAAAATGTTTTGTCCTCTTGAACCTTTTCTAAACGACATCATATACGTTTGATGCACATTTATGAATGATATAGAGTAGAAATGACCTACTAGCACTGTCTTAAACCATTCTTTGACTATATATATATATAAGATTGATTGACAAGCAAACAAGGTCAGACCTCTGCTGGAGCTTTTTTTTCACGAGTCATTCGGATAAAATATCTAACCAAGCGTTTTGTTAACCATACTGTTTCTATTATCCATCGAAAAGATAGTTTCATGTTTGTTTTAATCAAAAAAATTCAAAGTGATATACGATTTCTTTGTTCGTATTTAATAGGGTACTATTTCTATGAGTATATCGATGAACCACCAATGTATAGTTAAATTAATCATATATAGAAAGGTTTATAATTAGTTGTTACAACTCTAACTTCCTTTTTCTTTGTTTAGCTTCTGAAGAGGCATCCATCTGATTTTATCGCTTTACATTGTCAAGAAGTGGGTGGAAAAAACTATGAACAATTTATGTACATTCTTGATCGTTTTATAAAGTATGTTATTTTTATAGAATTAATTTTTGATAAATACGAATAACATAGTGTTTTTTTAGAGAAATGCTTCTAATACCAGAAATTAGTCAAGAATATACGCATTATCGACTCTATTTTGATTCTGATTACACATCACAAGATACTTTTACAGTAAGTGGAGTGATTTATTATATCCTATACAAATCATTCATTTTAATTATCTTGTTTAATCATTTAGGCATTAGGATCTGCTTATTTTATTCGACAAAATATCCCTGTTCAACAATGGAATTTTCAAAGTATTTACATGTGAATATGATGCCTACAATAAATTTCATTTTTCTTCTTTTATCATATAGCTTCCTCTTTTGAAGCAGTTGTTGATCGTCAAATTTTTACCGGTAATCTCATTGAAACTCAATCATTACGTAAAGAAAAATTTCCACGAGAATTTTTTCCTGAAGTATGAAGTATGGCTCATATCTATTGCCAATTTCATACTTAACAACATTGATCTTATTTCTAGGCAAAATGGTCTCGAAAAGGTTTTACACAAACAAGATGGGCGATTAATGGCAGGTAAATACAATTTTTTTCTTTGATAGAATATATAATATTATTGGATTGGTCATCTTTTGTATTAGCATGCTCGATCTGGTCAACGTTCATTTGTTTCATGACACTTCCAATCTACTTGCAGCCGAACAGGTATACTTTAATCTCTTGATTATTATATGAATAACAAATATTTTCATTTAAAAATTTTAGAGTCCATCTGTATATAGTACATTTCGAAAAATTGCTCTTCAATTTGCACTTCAAAGGTAACTATACATTGTATTATGTCATTCACTAAGAAAAATATATTTGAAATTTAGACTACCATTTAATAAAACTAATTCACAAGTACCATTTGCAATATTCGGTGATTTTAATTTTCGTATTGATTCTCATCGTTTTCTTGAGGTATGTATGTCTGTATGCTGGTTTTTTTCTTCTAACAATTTGTTCTAATTATTGAAGCAAATGGTAGAACAACCAAATGGTTCGATTGATAAAATTCGCCTACCGAATAGTGATGAAATCACAAGAATAATTATTCGAAATGCTGAGAATAGAGTAAATGAATCTACACATATATTCAACAAAAAATGTCCTATATCATATTTTTTTTTAAGCCAAAGCTTACAGTCGAAAAGAAAGGATTTAACATACACGATAATCATGATTTATTTTTTCAAACAAATATTCATTGGGTAACGATAATGAACATAATAGTTCTTTATTGTCTTATTATTTTTTTTCAGTATAAAATGCTCGATTTAGAATCACAATCATTTCAAGATCAATTATTTGAATTTGAAAAAACATTTCCACCAAGGTAATTTCGACATTATTATCTATTTATTTATCAAATCTTTTTTTCTTCTTCCAGTTATCCATTTAGTGAAGAAAACAATGAAGCACGCTCCTATTTAAAAGCACGCTGCCCATCTTGGTGTGATAGAATTCTACTTAGTCATTCATTGAAAAGTTATGTAAATTTAGAGGTAAGATAATTGAGAATGATCGAATGAAAAAACGATTATGTAACCTGATCTGCGGATATTTTTACAGGAAAATAGATCAGTTTACGGTATAATTGGGCAAGATGTATGTATGGGAGATCATAAGGTTAGTTAACTGATAATTATTTTTGTTCTACGATTCTCACTGTATGGTCAGATAGTGTTTTATCCCAGTATGTTAGACTAACACGAAAGTCTCTAGTTAAGTTGCATTCTTCTTTCACCACTTGTTATAATCTTGTAGGATTTTTTTTTCTTCTATCTATTTTAGCCCGTGTATTTGGCATTAACGATACGATTGGCTCAAGGTAGTTGTTCTTCAAATACATCATCGTCATTATCATCACCGTTGTTATTACCATCTCATTGTTCTACTGACTTGATGTTTGATAAAAAACTAAATAATCAGCATCATCACTCCAATGCACCATCATTTCCCGACACTCTTGTTGACACTTCTACTATAACTGAAAATTCATCTACTTCTATAGACACTAATAATTATAAGAATAATAATGATGATAACAATAAAGTTTATTTAAATAATGTTGAAATATGTTCGCTATTTCCAAATGATGAGAAAACAAAAACTTTAGATGAACAAAAGAATGATATTCATATAAATGTAAATAACACATATAATGTTCATGATTTCGCTTATTTCGTTCAACCGTATATATTACCTAGTTGGTCTTTAACGTTAAAAACAAAACCTAGTCAAAAACAACATTTATCAAATAGTAATGTGTTATGGGCAAAAGTGCGTGCTATTACATATCTCACCGGTCGTAAACATAGACATGGATCATGGTATTCAGAAGATCCAACGGAAATAACAGAGATGGATGTTGACGATAAGATGGAAGAAGATGAAATGGTATTTCCACATTCAAGAACATCAACAATAACAGTAACTCAATTTGATTCGACCAATTATAAGACAGATATACCTGTACCTTTTCGTCGTTCGTACAGTTCGAATGTATTTGTAAAAGGTCATGATAATATTAGTGAACAGACGTTATTAAGGAGATATTCAATGGATTCTGGTTTAATCGACAAACTAGTGGGTGATCATGACGCAGACAATATTGACGTTGTTCCATCGTCCACAATGACTACACATCTATCGACTACCTTGTCTAAGGCAGAGTTAAATGATAACAGCGTGAAGCATGAAAATGATATATCAACCGCACAAGAAACATTGGTTGTTCAAAATATTCAAAGTAAAACGACAAAGAAACAGCAACAGCAGCGTACTCATCGATTTCGTTGTATTATTTTATAATTAATTGACAGCATGTGCAAGTGGCTATTATTATACTTTATTCTAAGTATGATTATTACCTATTATAATATTCATCGTCATTTTCTCGCTAATAAAATGTCATTTTAAGTTCAATTGCATGTATCCTTCAACAACAGAAAATGTTAAGTAATGTTGCTTGCTTAACAACGATGAACTTGGAATAGATATCAAGCAGCAATACGACGCTTTTAAGCTGTGCTTTATTGAGCTACAAAAATTATTTCCAACTCGCTGTTCACCAGCATGTGTTTTAAGGAGAATACCCGTCGCCACAAATTTGTAATAGTTAATTAAGTGTTTCTCCTAGAGGTTTGACAGATAGTGTATTATGTAGCTATCTTCAAACTCAGCGTAAGAATATTTCTCGAATAGAGAAATATAGGATAGGCTTCAATTTCGACGAAAAATAATTTTTCTCAGGCTAATTTTTACAAATTATAATTTTTCATATGAAAATATGATGTGTTTTCACTAGAGGGATGTTATTTAGAGGTACTCAATATTTTTTGAGTCTGGACTCTTTCCATGCGAAAGTCACAGATCCAATCGTTCACCCCCACATTAGATATGGGTCTGATCCTCTTCTCTAAGTCTATTCTTACGCGTCTATATTTGCTTTTATTGTACTTTTAAGATTCGCATCTTAAATTATGACATGTTTGAAAAATTGTATTCTGATATTATATCTTAGCTTTTAAAGGTTGTGGACTGGATAAGACTAAACGTCACATTTTAACCGTGAAAACTTTTCTCTGTTTATCACTTGTTTTAGTCCATCTTTTTTATTCTGGGGGCCTGGGGAACATGTTTTAACATTTTATTTCAAAAAGGTTCATTCGAATATGGGTGAAGGTGTTTTTTAACGTGAGAAAGTAATTGAAAAATCTATGGACTGAAAAGAAAAGGCTAGCATATAAGACAGGGAGTAGTCTGTTCGTGTATATTTAACGGGTCCTGTCACTCGAACTTTTTTACCGATTTATAGAGGCAATTTGAAATACATATGGTGAAACCTTTTCAGTCACTGGACTTGCAATTTTTGAGAAATTGTTTTAAAGCTTTTTCTCAATTTTTTGCCCTAGTTTTAAAATTTCAATAAAATTTTCGAATATTCTACTTATAACCTCGATTTTGATGTCAATCGACAGAAGACATCGAGATGTATCTGTAAAAAGAATTCGGTCAACTTTTGATTATGTTATTCTGCTTTGACCTGCCCTACGGAATTTTGGAATAAAACGTTTTTAGTCTTAATACATCTTGAATATGCCTGGAAGTTCAGCTGTTTTACATAGAAACAATTCATCGGTACTTAATTTTGATAAATACAAAACTTAAGTAAGCAAGAGAAAAATTACTTTGAAAAAAAGACGTTTTTAAACAATAACGAATGAACCAGAGTAAATATATCCGTCTCAGTATTTTTTGACTATTTTTTTATTCTTCACAGATTATGTCCAAATTATTTTAAAAAGATTTCCCGTTCAATTCTCTAAAACAACGCTCGTTGATGAAACTTTTACAAAATGTTAAAATAAAAATTATACAAATAATACTGCAAAGCTCCGATATGGCTAGCTTTCAAAAGTGTTTTTTAATGAAGTTTTGACCCTTTTTCACGTTTCTTTAGGTAAATATTTTTATACTTTAAAATGTGCTCTTTCTAGTCATGTTCAGTATTTTACTAAACCTATATAATAGTATGATTAGAGTATATACATGGCCTCTAAAGTCTGAAAAATTGTCGATATTCTTCCATGAAGCTGTCAAATGCTTTCTATACAATTTCAACAATCCAGGTATCTTTACAGACAGATATATTTATATATAAAAATACGGGAAAGTATTCGCGAAACTGAGAACTGAGAACTACTCCGAATGAATAAAAGCTTGCGAAAATACACTTTAAATGTTCTGAAAAGGATTTTTCGCCGCTCTTCAAAGATGCTGAATTAACCGTCTGCGAGGGCGGCCTGGAAAAAAGTGAAAAATTGTTGAAATACCGGACATTTTTGGGAGTTGCAATCGGTTGAAAATATAGCTTATCGACCTTCCTGATCACTATCGAATAACTAAGTTGCTGTCTACTATCGAATAATGAAATAATAAAATTTTTAGAACTTTGTGTTTAGCCATCGCAGAAGATCTTCTAAGAGCCCTCGGCTTTCAGCCAAAAACCCTTGGAAAACCTTCAGGTTTTGAATTTTTCCGAAACAAAAACTCTTTTTAATAGCTAAAAGTGACCTTTGTCGAATGAGCTTGTTTAAAAAATTAAATGATAACGGCGAATATTTTTAATTTCAATATATCCGAAAGCCCTATGGTCAAAGCTCGGTTTCAAGAAGTCCACTATCAAGTCAGAATCAGCCAGATCCAATGGCACCATCATATAGGGCAAGGCCGAAAACCCTCAATACTCAGAGAGTATATTATGGGAGTGTTTTGTCTAGGCACTAGGTAGTTTTCAGTCGATTTGGAAAGACGCTCATTGTGTCCCCTTTTCAAGGACAAAAACGCCAGGTCTCTACTATTTTTATCGGAATCCATTCAAAAAATATTTCTGCCGACTTCAGTTTGAAATGGACAATAGTTTATATTTTGTAAAAATGAAGGTGATTTGAATGTTAAAATAATCTAAGTATGGTCTTCGATACTTGCAATCTGTCCACTTCCATGCTCGTAACGCATCTTCTGTCGAAGTTGGCCGTTTTTATTAATCAAAATCAATTGATAGACTGGGGAAGTAAATCATTATTCGACATGGCAGTCACACATGCTATATAATCACCAGCAATCTTGGTAGATAGTATCATCTGCATGCACGATAAATCTCGTACTTCAAATAGACCTTTTTAACCATTCCAACAAGACCATTTCGATTAACCATCATATCAAAAACAACATTCTCATTTTTCCATCTATTCTTTCGAGCCCAGCTTGAGGTACTCCACAGTTCGATGTTTTCTACATGACACAACAAAAGTTTACCCTTGAAACATGAGCAATGGTAAAAACTTGTCTCAGACTTTGCAATTTATCTAACCGGTATTGATTGCAAAGTTGTTGCTCGACCAAATAAAGAAGTGATTGAAAGATAGATGAACACCAGCACTCACTTGTATAAATCAGTTTTTACTATTTCTACTCTTAATTATATAATTTATTTATTTTCAGTCCTACCGGACAATAAAGAATAAATTAACATAACAATTACAAAAGCACATGTTACTAAGATAATTAATGTTCTATTTTTTTTATTCTTCTCTAGTGTTTCGTTGTTCTTTTTCCAGATTGGACTTCAATTTAGATTTTCTTGTTGCTCTTCTTTGATCCTTTATTCCAAGTTTTTATTGCTTAGTCGTTCCGTTTCCAGCTTTGACCCTAATTGTCCGATTTCTCGATTTAAGGGAACGATGATTAGTCCATACTGTTTTATCAAATTATCTCTTCTATTTTCATTTCGTTGTATTGAATCAACTAGTTTTTTCTCATAATGTTTTCTTAATTCAGTTAGTTCTTGTTTATGAATTTCATGCAATTTTGATAAATCTTTTCGTGCTTCAATCAAATTTGCTAAATGGAAACAAAAAAGAAAAGCTTATAATCAAAAACCTTTATATTTGTTATGAAAATACTTTTCGTACTATTGCTTTCACTATACAAGGCTAATACATGTTGTACCGTACCACTTAATTCATTTTCTGATGAATTTCATATCACCGACAAAAAAAAATTAAAGTTCATTTAGAGTTAAAGAAAAGTGCTTTTTCGTATTCAGCACACTTGATAACCTGGAAAATTTTCTATTTTTAGCGAGGGGTACCGACAAAAAGTTAAGAAAAATTTTTAAAATTGTACAATTTTACCATGGGGATTTTTCTGCGTCAATTTGTTTTAAAATTTTTCTTAACTTTTTGTCGGTACCCCTCGCTAAAAATAGAAAATTTTTCAGGTTATCAAGTGTGCTGAATACGAAAAAGCACTTTTCTTTAACTCTAAATGAACTTTAATTTTTTGTCGGTAATATGATACGTGATCGATCCAATTCTCTATTTGCTCCATGGTAAAATAATAATCGATCATGTTCAGATAATGTGGGCGTAAAACGTAAAGTATTTCTATGGTTCTTTAAATTAAAAAAAACAATAATGTTTCATATCACCGGATCAAAAAATTTCAAAAGCTTGTTCGGCCAAAACCGATTACAGATTCGTCTTCTCCATGGTTGATCATGTGTTACGCAATAACTTTTGGATCGGGGTAATTTAGAAAAAAAATTTGCCATGGTCTTGCTCAAAAATTTTTCCAAAAGTTACCGTATGGGACCAAAGGCAAAACGATGCCGAAAATTTTTTCTAAAGTACCCCGATCCAGAAGTTATCGCGTACCACATAATTAACCATGGAAAAGACGAATCTGCAATCGGTTTTGACCGAACAAGCTTTTAAAATTTTTCGATCCGGTGATATGAATGTAACATTTTCAGTTGTACATAAACCAATGAAACCAATAACATTTAATGCATTCTTCGTACAATCTTCAATATCGATATCATTAACAGATATGCTTAAAAATATTTTCATATTTGTGTTTCTCAACTGACTAATATTTGAATTTTATTGCTATCTTAAATGGAATCGAACTAGTATTAGCAATATTAAACGTTTCAGTTGGTACATCTTGCTTTCAATAACACTAGACGATAAAAGAAACAACTTGAAATATCGTATGGGAAGAGAGAAGAAAAATAAATCTTTTTTTCTCCTTTTCTCGGTGAACACGTGTCCAAATAAATAGTGACTTTTTTTTATAACTTTTTAACGGAACACGATGAAGACCTGCAACTTCCAGTGTCTTGTAGTCAGGACTTGACAGCATCTTCCTATGTATAAATCAATCCTACCAATGTGGTCTACCAAACAAATTTTTCACCTATTACTAAAATACTACTGAACACTGTACGCTAATGAGACCCCAAT